CCCCAAAACCCCAAAACCCCAAAACCCCATGATTACAGATCTTCAAAATTATGATAATTAAGTTATAAATTATAGGTTAAAATTCAACTAGTGCTTTTATTCATTTGTATTTGTGGAAGTTTTTAGTAGCCTCCTTGAGATGATAATTAACATTCTCAAAGATGCCTTCGAATTTGTCACTAACATTACTGATCTCATTATTCACTTGGTCATTAAGCCATCTATTTGTTTTCAGCACTTCTTTCCCGTTTAGTTCATTAATACTGTCATCAATAACATAGTCCTTAGCCTTCTACTGATACTCAATGAATAGATTTTGCAACTTTTAAATGTGCTTCTCAGCTTCTACATGCGCTTTTTTGGCAATCCAGGATGCTCCCTCCATAAATTTAGTCTTTTCATTGCTTCCACTCTGCACTATAGTCTCAAGTGCTCTCAAGCGTTTCTTAAGTATCTCGTTTTCCTCATAAAGCGCTCTTCTCTGCCTTTCAATTTCATTTTCAATGAACTTTTCACTACCTTTGAAAGCTTAAAAGTTCTCTTTGGATTACAAGCCTTTGCCAGCACTAGTGTCAGCCTTAGACTTAGATCTGTTAGCTGGTTCATTTCTGAGCTTAGATTCAAGGTTTTTGCGCATTTTAGTAATCTCTACTGAGTGCTCGTTTCTTATTCTAGCGAATTCTCTCATCTATTGATCTTTCATGATTTTATGAACCTCAGCAAAGAAATCATCGAGAACAAGACTTTGAGTTTGATGGCTTTTGGATCTTTGAAGTCTATCTCTAAACACTTAGATCAAGTTAAATATCTCTGCAGGGATTGAGTCGTCATTCAAGTACTGATCATCGACCATTGCCCTGTAAGGATTTTCCACGTTTCTTGGAATGCCACCACTAAGCTAGCTTTAAGTTGCTGAAATTAAATGCTCCTCACTAATTAATCTAGGTTGCTTATCCCCAAGTCCCATGAAACTGCTCTTATTAGTCTGTCTAGCAATTCTATCAGCTCTCTCAATATCTTCTCTAGCTCTCTCCATATATTCACCCTAATCTTCCAATCCAGCGTAATCCCCAATGTTTTTCTAAGCCATGCACATTGAGTCCATTAGTCTGTTTTGTTCCTCTACCTTCTTGCGTAGCTTGTCAAGTTCTCCGTCTCTAAGTTTCAACTACTCTTGCAATGTTTCCTTTTGCTAGCGATTTTATTCCCTTGACACTGTCAATAGTTTCATCTCATCTTAATTGTTAAGCAACTATGCCCTCATTCTGCCCAGCTCCTCTTCTCTTTAATTGATCTCTGCCATGTAAGTAGATGCTTTGAATCTATTCTTTTCCAGCACATCTCTATTGTTATTGTTATAAGCGTCAATTTTCTTCTGCATCTCTTCAATTGTCCTAGCCTGCTACTAATTGATCTTTACTTGCCTTGCCAAATTATCAGATACTTTCTATAAATGCTATAATAAACGTAATAGACTACCTCTAACTCTGACTGCTGCTCGTTAATCTTATTGTTCTAGGTTTCACACTCCTCCCGAGACCTTGCAAGTTGTATTTCAACATAGCGCAGACTTTGCTTTAGCTCCTCAATTTCTACTTCTGCAACTCTTTAGAACTGTCTGCTCTGCTCCTCCTAAGCCATTCGAGGTGGGACTACATAGCTGTCTCCATTTAGATTACCTCTTTTACTGAGTCGAGTAAACTAAGCAAACATTGATATTTAAGGTGAGTGCTTACGAATGATGAATCGATTTGAGTTTCCATTTTATTGTTTCTGTTATAAGAAAGAAGAATATACTTTTATAATTTTTCTGTTTGTTATAAATTAACAGCAATAATAATTTGATTTTGAATTAAATAAATAGGTATTTGTTTTCAGAGAACTTTGTGAAAGTACAGTATTGAAAGAAAAAGATGAACACAAATGATTTCCAACATATAAATTTAACCACCACTGGTACACTCAATCCCCCTGCTATCAGAGAGACAGACTCACTGGCAGAAGATTCAATATAACAATACTACTAGGAAGCAGCAGATAATGTGACTCAGGGCAATAATGGTTATGATTTCTTGATAGATGAGGAATACTAGCAAGTCAAGCAACTGCAACAAGAACTAGGCTTTGCTAAATGGAGTTTGATGGGCGAAAAAGTCTCTCTCAACCTAATCCTTAGATAAGTGCTTAGTGATGCTTATGAGTAAAATCAACTTTTGCAATTGCAAAAAAACCCGAACTTAAAGGCCTTTAAACTTTCAAACATACCCACAATAAGGGAAGTTAATCACTAAATCAAGTCTACTATGAGTGAAAACACAGCTTTAATCAATGGAATCCTAGATAAGTATCACCAGCTTAAGTTCATAGCCCAGCAAGAGCAGGAAAAACCATCATATCTAGAGTCTCAGTTGAATGTGACTAAGCAGAAAAGCACATTCGCCTAGTTTTCAGCTGATAGTTTGGACAACAGAGAGCGATATATCGAGGAGCTAGAGACTCAGCTGCAGGATACTAGGAAGTAATTACTCGATAGGAAGCTTTAGCTAAGTGATAAGGAAGAGGAGGTTCAAAACTTGAAGAGACAGTTGCAGAATACAGATTCTAATTTCTAGTAATTAGAGGAGCAGAAGAGAGAGATTGACGAGTTAGTGATCAAGGTAAGCCAGGAACTCAGGAATAAAGAGTATGATTTGAGAGATATAAACTACCAAGTGTTTAATGATAAAGATCATCTGGCAAGGCAAGTCGATATTTTAAGGAAGGAGCTGCAAGAGGAGAGAGGACGTAAGAACAATCTCGAGTAGCTGGAAGGAGACTTGATCTTTAAATTGTAACAGAGGGAAGAGGAACTGCATCAAGTGAAGTCTTATAATGCTGAGTTGGAGGAAAAGGTAAGAGTTAATTCAGAGGCAATTGAGAAGGCATAGAAAGTGATTGAAAGACTCAATGAGGAAATGGATAGAACTGCATAGATAATGTAATCCCTTGAGAAAGAAAGAGATAAGTTTAAGAGCGAAGCAAGAGACTCTAGCAAGCGCATTGTAGATCTTAACAAGCAAGTTCAATTGACTCAATCTTAACATTAGCATAGTCAGTAACAAGTAAGCATGCAGTTAAAATAAGAAATAGATGAACTGAAAGAGGCATTAGGCTAGTATCAATAGTAATTTGATGAGGAAAGAAGATCACTTAATATGAATCTAAGAGAAGCTAATGAGGATAAATATCATTTACATCTTGATAAGGAAAAGCTTGACTCTTCATACAAGAAATAGATCATGCTTTTGTAACAATAACTTGAGGACATGTAAAAGCAAAATGCCTCTAAGATCATTTAAATGGAGCATGAATTCTAAGAGCAAAAGGATTCACTATTATAGCAAGTAAGGAACTAAGAGGAGTAAGCTTAGAGTTAAATTAAGTATCTTCAAAAGCGCAATAGAGAAATTTAATCGGATAATTAAACTAAAACCGCCAGTCAAATTTAATCGTAAACTTAAACAACAGGCAAGCCTTCTTACTTGAATGTGATTAAACAAGAATTTGAAAAAATCTAAAATGAGTTAATGGACACTCGTAAAGTAGTCAAGCAGTATAGTAATGACCAAAATTTAATAGGAATACCAGCCAAACTTAAACAGTTCGAAGACTTTAGAGAAAAGGTTATTGCTCAGATTAACGATTGGGAAGTTAAATCTGAGGGTCTGGCCTAACTTTCTCAGAAATATGAAAGAGAAATTGATGAATATAGGAGGATGTTCTAGTAAATGAAGCAAATGATAAAGGAAAAGGACCAATTCATATAGTAGATTCAAAAATCAGTGAAATTAAAGGATTCATTCAGAGATAGCTACATGAACACAGTTAAAAAAGAGTTGGACAGACAAACTTACCTTATTAAAGCAGATCTACTTGATTAATTCAAGTCCACATAGCTAACTGCTTAGAATGTTAGTAATGAGCAGTTGGACTAAGAACGTAGAATGCAGGCTTTCAAGTAAGAATACTTATTGATGCTTGAAGATAGAGAAAATTTGAGTAATAGTAATCTGAGACTGATAGGTTAAGTAGAAGTGTTAAACAGGGATTTGGATACGATCACTTAGAAGCATTATGAATTTAATCAGAGGATTAGAGTTGTAATGGGAGTCAATAATATGAACATGAAGAGCGACATTCATATAGTAAATGATATAGAGTCAATGATTGATGAGCTCAGAATTAGAAATGAGGAAGTTATTAGCTACAGATCTCAACTCAATAATTTACAGAATCAATAAGATTAAGATAAGTAGTTTATGCAATAGAAGGTAGCTGCTGTAGAGGAACAGCTTAATAACATTCAAAGATCAAATCTGGCCAAAGAGGAAGAGTTGCAATTGTTATTTATGTAAAAAGAGGCTAAATTGCACTCTGAGATTTAAAAGCAGCATGAAGAACTGCAGTAGCATTAATAGCATTTGAAAACTAGAGAGCGCTAGGTAAAAAAACTCTAGGAATAAAAAGACTCTTATCAAGATGAGGTCAATAAGCTCTAAGCGCAATTAGATTAAATTATTAAGGAAAAAACTGAGATGGAGAGTGAATGCAAATAAACCGTTGAGGTTATCAATCAAGTCTAGTTGACACTGGAGACTACTTAGAGTGAATTAGAAAAGAAATAAGGCGTTATGTAAGAATAAGAGGGGTAAATATAGAAGCTAGAAGAGAGGAGTAAACAGATGAAGGAACAACTATATAATAGGGAAATTGAACTGCAAAGAGAGAGGGATCTGAACTTGTAACTGCAAGACGAGAAATATTAGGCAGTGTTATAGAGGGACAGTGCTCTTGAAAAGCAATCAATCCTGGAAAGAGAAAACTAGAATATTTACAAAGATCTGGTTATATAAAAAGAAACTGTAAGAGAAGTTTCGTCTTTATATGATGAATGTGAACGGGAAAAATTTCAACTCTAGAAAACTTGTGAGTAGATGAATGAGGTAGTGTCTTAAGTTTAAGATGAAGTCGTGTAGTCTCAAAGAGCCATTGAGAGTTTGAATCATGCTTTGGATAAGACCAGAAGGAAGTATAATAGAGCCAAGGAGCTTAAGCATCAAATCAAGTTAATGAAATAACATGAAGGCCAGCTTAATGAGTTAATAGAATCAATGAGGAGATAGCTTAACCCACCAAAGCAATCGTAGGAAATATAGACTAATGATTCAGGGATGTAAGAGTTAATATATCACTATGAAGAAAATCAGAGACTCTAAAAGCAAAATTTAATGTGCTAGAGAGATATAGAAACGCTTTAAGATTCTATCTCAAGACAAACTATGGATATCAATAGGTTAATTGAAGAAAAAAGAGATTTAGAGGATCTAGTTGACCAGTAAAATTAAGCCATTAAATAAGTCAGAATGAATAATCAGAGCGTAATGAATCCGAATGTGGCAACTAAAGAAAATCATAATCTTCTCAACTCTTATGCATCTAATGTAGGTGGAGGCACAATAAAGTCAGATAGTGATCTTTATAGTAAAATATTGCAAGAAAAAGAAAACTATATTATGCGATTAGAGCATGAAATCAGTGACATGCGCAAGGAATTGGATTAGCTCAAGGAAAAACTGATTTCTTATGAGATTGGAAGTTTGAGTCTAGATAGAAGTTTGGGCGGTCATGGCAGATCAATGCAAGTCAATATGAACAATCTCAAGCAATCTACAAATACTGGCCAAGGCAATCAACTTAAATAGCAGAGCTAAGGTTTCCGTCTGAACAACACATATAACAGCCTGCATTTTAGTAATATGTACAACGCTACTAATGCCACAAATTACCAAACGCTGAACCAAGGTACTGAAGATTATAACAGAGGAGGAGCACTTAATAGATCAATGCATAATTGAGAGAATTGAGAATGCTTAAATGACAATCTAAGTTAAATGTGAGAATAAATATTGATTTTGTTAAATTTATTAAGATTAACTTCATATCTAAAACTACTTCATTTGTATTCACTTTAATATGAACATATATAATCTTTGAATTCAGCTAAGATTTCATTATATGATCGGCTCTCATCTTTACTATTTGACTGAGACTATTGTGCCTTTCTAATTCATACTCATCCTGACTGAATTTTGCTGTTGGCTGTGCTAAATCGATGTAATACCTCTATTACTTGAAATTTAATGATTTTATTGGTGATTTTGCAAATTAGACAATGGTATCTAGCCAACTTTTACTTGAGAAGGTTGCTTTTAAGGATTATTATTCAATTGAGCTGGCATATGCTAGTGCTAATGCAAGTTCTATTAGTTCGACTAATTAATCATGTTTTATTATTATACTTGAGGCGGGTTTTGTTTTAGCTGTTAAGGCTTCTTGGAAATAAGGGTGTTTATTTATTATTACTAGGAGGACATATATAAATTTCCACCTCCTACATTCTACTACGATTTCCCTCCATTATTTTTGCTGGGATGTGCTTGAACGTATTGAAGAGCTTTTTCAAAGTAATCAATTTTCTCCTAATATCTCAATCTTATCACTTCAAGTTCAGCCTCCATTGCAATCTTTAATCTAGCTACATTTTGATCTAACTATGCTTCATTTAGTCCTTAAAGTTCTTGAGGAAGCTCATATTACTCGTTGACAAGCTAAGGATTATTACTTCCCTATATATATTACTACTCCATGTTTGTCTACTATTCATCATCTTCTGCAAAATGATCCTACAAGTATTCATTATTCACATAATGGATGTTCTAATTCTTAATAAATTTCATAAAATAGGGCTCTTCCTCAACTCCATTAGCATCTCTTTCTACTTCTGCTTGGAAATTCTCTACTAGGATAGTTCTACAAGTTCCTATATCTACCTCTTCTCCTTCTTAGATGACTGATTATAACGTTTGTTAGTCTTTATTCTTATTTTTTCTAGGATTTTATCTTATTGTTCCAGTTTGCTAAGAATTTATAGTGTTTTGAGATTGTGACAATGGGACGTAAGTCTAGACTCCATCATTAAAATCATTAACTTCTGAGCCCTCATACTGATATGAATTGCCATCTGGATTATTTTATCTAAGTCTGTATCTTTCAATCTCTTCTAAAGAGTTAGCAACTAATTCTGAGAGCAAAGCAGAGCCCTTAGATTTAGATATGAATGGGTCAAGAAGCAATTCTTTGGCTGTAGGTCTGCGTTTGGGGTCAACAGTCAAGCATTTTCTTACAAAATTATTAAATTCAGGGGACCACATATCTGGCTTAGATAATCCTTCAGCAGGTTTTTTCTTGATAACGAACATCACTCTCATACTAGCAATATGTGAGTAAGGTGGATCGCCTTCAGCCATTTCAATAGCAGTGATTCCTAAAGACCAGATATCTGTTTTCTTATTATACTCAGAGTTTGATATTACTTCAGGACTCATCCAGTAAGGAGTACCAGTCAGGGTATTCTTTTTCTGGTAAGTGTTGATAAGTTAAGCTGAAACTCCAAAGTCAGTTAGTTTAGCGTTACCTTGATGATCAAGCAAAATGTTTCCAGCCTTTATATCCCTGTGAATCTTGTTTGTGTCGTGAAGATATTCAAGTCCTCGCAGGACAGCTTAACATATACTTGCAATTTCTGTCTCATTCAAAGTTCTTTTTGTTATTTTGATAAGATCAGCAACACTGCCAGGATTGCAAAACTCGAGAATCAACCATAAATCATTGTCCTTTAAGTAGCTTCCATAGTACTGCACAATGTATGGACTCTTGCATTACTTAAGTATGGATATCTCTTTTTTTAAACTCTCAATGTCAGCTGAGACAGGGATGATTTTCACTGCCACTATATTTCCTGTTTATTTATGCAGAGCTTTGAAAACTTCACCGTAACTTCCTTCACCTAGTTAGTCTAGAAGCTCAAATAAGTCTTCGGGATCATCCTCACTGATAACTAGTTGATCTTTATTCATATTCTTGATAATCTCTTGCTAGCGATGGGCCTAAAACATTTTTTTTGCGTAATATTTCGAAAATTTCCAATCTATTTCAAAATTAATATAATTCTTATGCTTCTGGTAATATTGCTTTGAGGGGTTTTGGGGTTTTGGGGTTTTGGGG